AAAAAAGAGCAGCTGTTTTTTCACAAAGTGCCATTAAATAATTTGTGTGTGTATGTGTGTGTGTGCGTTTTTCTTATAACTATTTGATAATAGTCTCCGAGGTCCAAGGTTCACACTAATAAACTGCTGTATATGTGTTACTGCACGGTATAAATTATAGGCCTAAATCAGAAGCCCGCGAGTTACTGTTGTGGACTAAAAAGGGTACTTTGAGGGTATACGAGGTCCCAGGTGAGCTGCAAAGGCTTTCAAATACCTTTTACCGAAATGTTCTCCTTTTTCTTCCCTACTCCCTCTCCCATCCCGTTTACCTATAAAATAGTGTAGTGTTTATATTGTATAGTTGATATCCAAATGGAATTATAAATAAAACTAAATGTCGAATGTAAAACGCTAAACAAATAGTTGCCATCTTGATTTTCCACGTAAAACCGAGTTTAATTTTTAATCATTTTTCAAGTATTTATATAGTAAAAATGATAAACTATACAACTTGACCGAATCCAATGTTCCTATAATAGCTATTCTATAAAGGTACCTACGTATAATACACAATTATTTTAAAAACATTGAGAGAGTCTGTCTAAACTAATTCACTGTACGATTAGACGTATTACTGTGTCAAAATTTTTTTTTTTTTTTGTTTTGAAAGATTTTCTAAGTAAGTAAATAAAATTAATTAATTACCTTCCTTTGTACTGTACACAATCGAGACTGTATAGTGGACTATAATAAACCATTTATATTACACTGCAGCAGAGAATTTAAAGAAAAAAATGTTGTTTAATATGTAAACCTTGTAGTTTCGCGCGGCAATGTGAATCAGTAGGAAAAAAAATGTCTGTATAAAATAAATGCCGAAAATAAATTATTTATTAATTCTTTGATGTTTTAAAAACCGACGTCATCGAGTAGATCCGCATCAACTCTCTGTTACATAATATTTTAATCAAACAAGAGATTCTATAATATAAGTATATAATTGAGCTTTCTATATTTAGTGACCCATCTAGAGCTCAATCAAGAAGAGAGCTATACACAAGTACATAATATTACATGGGTTTCAATAAAATTTTACGGAATTTTCGTATTCTCTCCTCCCTCTCCCTCAAAGTGCATTTTATGCTGAAGTTTCAGAACATAATTATATCGAACACTGAACCCTATTTATAGTTTATAGCGATACACGAGGAATCTTTTCTCTACAATATTCACACACCGGAGTTGTTTTAATCAGATGCATGCATAAACGAGAAATATTATTATATCGAACAAATAAGCTCATACTCAGGAATTAGAATTATTTTATAAGTGGATACTGATTGAATTTCAGTATGAATTTCATTACGTTGCGGTAGAAGAGTGGTTTTTTTATATATTTATACACGCCTACAAAAGCCTCAAATAAAGTCAGGGGGATTGCAAATTGTATAAATATCAAGGATATGTTTTTTGGGAATTTCAACTTTCAATTCACTCCCCGGCCATTTTTCTGATTATATATTTTGTTGTTTGCACATAACTATTTTAGATCAATCGTAAAAAGAAAAAAATTATATTTTAACGGTGACTAGTTAGCTGCGGGAAAATTCGATTCTACTGCCAATCTTAACAAAAGCCGGACATACTTCGTACGACGAGTGGGCCACAGTTGTAAGTGGAAAGTTAGGTAGGTTCAGGGGAAATTTAATGTATATCTGAACGCAACGATTAATCATCGCTATTCTGATCGGAGTTCGGTTGTAAATGTTTTGGTAGGCCGTAATATTTACGATTTAAAAATTATAAATTTCGTACATTTTCACGTTTTTCTTAAGTTTCTTCCTGGTTTTTCCAATTTATTATGAAAACTCCTACAAAAATCAAAAAATTACTTTATTTAAAGTACTTCTAGTCAGATTTATTTTCAGAAAAAGTACACTTGAAAATCAGAGCAAAATTACAGCAGAAACGTAGTTTACAGAAAAAAAAAACATCATTGTAAAACTAGTACATTCTTCGCTTCGCTCAGAATCTATAATTTATCATATGACACTGAAAATGTCTATTACTTATACATTAAAAATTGTTATCACGTTTTATTGATTATTTTTCAGCTCACAAAAATATCACTGTGGAACGTCACAAATTGTTTACTTGGATCCAAACAGCAGATGAAAGTATTAGAAAATAACAGATTTAAAGAATAAAAGTATGTCGTATGAATTTGTTTAAATTATTTTATTAACAGTATAAGGGACATTTTCCAAAGTTAAAAACAATTAAATAGGTAGGTAGTCAATTTTTTTTTTTGTTTTAATACAATAAAAATTAAGATTTTACTACCATTCCTAAAGTCATATAAAGACCTTCACATCTCACTTTATTTATCTTACTTTATTTTTATTTTCAATATATTTTTTATTTATGTTATTTCCGTGACTAGTTGTATAAATGTGAAGTTTTTCAGACGGAAAATCGAAATTAGCAGATACAGAAAAATAAATATAACTAAAAATGTACGTGCTGTGTTGAATGAATACTTTTTGGCCTTCGTACATATGTCACGTCTCTAACTTCAAAAAATCTATTGAAAAATAAGTTTCTTTGCTTTACTGTGAGTCTTTTGACAATTTGTTTTGCTATAATTCGTAGAAATGTGCGGGCGCAGATTAAAGGGGGGAACAAAATTCAAATACATTCAGAATAGGTTCATTTGTTTGCGTCATTCAATCAAATTTGTAATAAAATTTAACTAAAATAATAACAATAATAAATTTATAATGTATGTAAGGGTAAATCATTGCTAACAAAAAACAATTTTGAACAAAGTTCGATTAAACATGCTTTAAAATTTGCCCACCCCACAAATCTTTTTTTTCGTAATGCTGTAGTGCAGGTTATATAAAATCATTATATTAATACTTAATATTTATAAGTAGTACTATTATTATGTATTATATAATATAAATCATTAATTGCAGAAAGGGGACATCGGATACGTTCAATTTTTAACGAAATTGAATTATTACCGGATTTGAATTCATAATATTTTGTGTAAAACTGAGACTTATCTATCAAACTGCTATGGAAATACCAACAGCTAAAGTTATATTGTTTAGTGCAGAATGGGGAAAAATCCCTTCCTGCGCCAAAAATCTTAATCAATTACTGTGACAATAACATAGTTATTTTATAGTTAATTTATGAGTTTTTGCATAGACATATCTATAGTATTATATGTCTATGAGTTTTTGCTAAGATCTTATCAGCCGACAATTTATCTTCCCGTTATTTATTAATAATATTCTGAGTCGATATATTTCTGAGTTTGTGTTATAAAAAAATATTATTCAATCTTTTTAATTTTAAAATATCCGTGAATTATTAAAAAAAAAATTATTTCGCCAATCAAGCCGCTGACTACCCAAGATATTCCCATAATGAATTATCTCTATTCCCGTGAAATTATTCATTAGAAAATGTCCATACTCATTTCCCATTAATGTGTGTCAAACAGTAGATTACTAAAATAATCTTATCATTCAATTTGTAATTAAAATGATAAATATAATTATTTAAATTTACAAATTTGAGAAATTTGAGTAACGAGCATCTGGTCTCATAAGAAAATTATATGGAAAATTACATCTTCAATGTATTGACTAGACAAAACTTGGTAGGTATTAGAAACCACCTCTAACATGAATGATTGGAGCAAAGTACGAAAAGCTATTCAAAGACAGCAAAAAACATCCAAAAGAATTAAAACTAAAGAACTATATTAGAAAATGTTAAAAATATACATTTTGAAATCTTTCATTTTTTATTTTTATTAAAATAACAACTTCTCAATCTTTTCTCAAACTTTTCTATTAGAAATCATGATCTCCAGAAACGGTATTAATTTTAATCTAGTTAGTGAATTGGGGAGATGCAGAATCCGGGTAAACGGGTTACTATGAAAAAATCAAAAAAAGAGTTTGGTTTCCCCCCTCTGAAAAAAAAAAATTAGTAGTAAATAAAGACAGTANTTTTAGAATAAAAGATTCTAAAAGGTTATTGCACAGGTAAGTTATTTTTGAAAAAATAGGAATGTCACGAAAAAGCAAATTCTATGAAAACATAAGGTATTAATTGTAGTGATGTAGAATGAAAAGAAAAACTAAAAACTAATCTCAAATAATATAAAAATAAAGTAAAAACAAAAATATTAAAATGGGTAATACTCGTAAATAAATAAATAAATATAAGCAAAATATATGAAATGAATGCGTCGATTGAAGTATTAGATGATAAATTATTGTTTTTTTACATACATTTTTCAATTTTATATTTATTTACTTTATTTAATTAATCTCAGCAAGATACTTTAAATTAAAACACTCAATGTGACACAGCAGGAATATAAATTACGACAAGTTGTTCAATCATGTCTCAAATAACAACTATTCAACAAGAGCCTCAATCACTTAAACTCATTGTTCATATTCTTAGAACTATAATCTATCAGATATCCTGGACATTTTCATAGCAAAAATCTATCTTCTAGTATGTACACCTAACCAAACAAATTGACACATCTGATCACATTCCGATACTGATGAAATTGTTCAACTCTCAATCATTTGAATTAAGTATGCTTAACTATTAATAATCAACTATAAAACTTTCACGAATCTAAAAACATCAAACAAACACAAAAAATTAACTGCAGTATGAGATTTCAATATCTTTCCTCAAACTGGATAAGAGCGATAATCGTGCTTATCCTAAATTGGACAATGATCACAAGATTCCGGAAGAATTACCACCGGGAAGTTTTAATATAATTTTTTTCCAAAATCTATGTTCAAATTATGACGAAAATTATAAAAATCGCTGCATTTAAGGACATGTTTAACCGAACTTCATTCGAAATTATTTTTTGTTAGCAATTATTTATCATTATATACAAAAATAAATTACATTAGGTTATGCAACATACATTAAAAATTCCTACTTATAACATTAAATGCCCACTAGATGTTTGTCCTATAAACTAGTTGTTCAAATACGGATGCGAAATAACTGTCCTCGTTTGTTTTAGTGAAGTCCGCTACAGTTGGACATTGTATGGACATATCGGGAATCTGTTTACTAAGACTACGGCACAAATCGGACTGGATCACTGGACCCTTTTTGGCTTTATCGGGACGAACGCACTTCATTTCGCACAATTCTTCGTCGATTTTGTTCATTTCTTTCGTTATCCAATTCAGTTCTTTTTTCAACTCACACAGAGTCGCCTTTGTGCAATAGTTAAATTCAATAGATTACACATAGGTAACTACGGGCTGATTATTTTATCATAAACCAGCGATTTTTAGTAAAATAATATTATGTAATATTGATGAATTTGAATATTGTCTAACAATACAGATATGAAATCAATTATTTTTTTCTTCTTTTCTTTGGTCTACATTTGAAACTTTTATAAAATAGAGTACAGACATGCATTTTACTGCATGTTTTTTTCTTTTTAGAAGTTTGTTAATAGTCTAAACGAATCATTTTTAAAAAAAAGTCATAACAAAAANTTGTAATATTGATGAATTTAAATATTGTCTAACAATACAGATATGAAATCAATTATTTTTTTCTTCTTTTCTTTGGTCTAAATTTGCAACTTTTATAAAATAGAGTACAGACTTGCATGTTACTGCATGTTTTTTTCTTTTTAGAAGTTTGTTAATAGTCTAAACGAATCATTTTTAAAAAAAAGTCATAACAAAAATTGTATTTTGCTTATTTTTGTATATTAAAGTGTACTACTTGCATGTTTCAATAAAAATTATGCGCCACACCGAACAAAATTGTCAGCTATTGCTCGAGTAATTTACTTGACTTTTTAAGTTTTTTTATAATTTTCAATGAAGATTATATGACACATTTATTACTTCCTCGTGCATGTATTATCTGTGCTCTACTTATAATAGTTCATAAAACTCAATAGATAACACCTAGACGGTATATATTTAGACAAATATCTACCTTCTGAATCTTAGTTTGAAAACGTTGGCTGTTGCTTGAAAATATTTTGAATAAGAGATCATACAATTCTGTAGTGACTGAATAAAAAAGCGAAATAAAATTAACTCGAAAAATTCTTATTTATAAATAATAATCGCTGTAGTGATAAAAAATCAGTATGCGTAATGGACGTGATAACGTATAGATACGCCTATTGTGTAATAAATATTTATTATGGAACAAGAATCACACCGACCTGATACTTCAGAACAATATTTTCAACACGATCACAAAAACTGTCTATTATCAAATCCATCGATTTGACCAGAGGGTAGAACGAGTCCAAGTCAACGGACGTATCGTTTATCAACTTCCAAAGCCGCATATCGATCTCATTCTCGTCTTCACTTTTGTTTGTCTGTTTGCCCACCGCTTTAAGGTCATAGATCTTTCTCTGACTCAAGGCCATGATTACCTGTTTAGACAACTCACGTGGTCTATGTACCACGTTCCTGTAACCACGAATTTTATGCCAAATTGACGAGCTTCCTTCGTCGGATTCGTTGTTACAGCTAGGAGCTTGAATATCTAGTAGAAACATCACTGTTAGTACTACTGGTATCAGGCAAACTAAAAAAATCATTGTGTTAAATGAATTTAAATCGTAATAAAACGAATATTAACTACATAAATCGTATAAATAAAAATAATAGTTATTTTCCGCGGAAGTCGTTCAACCGAACGTAAATTTAAAAAAACATATTAAAAATGTTGATCTTTTTTCTGTTGCCAAGTTACAAAATGGTTTGACAGATTAGTAAAAGATTTCATTTGATCAAAATATTTAATTTATAGGTAATATTTTTACAAAATTGTTATATATTATTATATTTTTGTATTTATAATGAAATTATACTTAAAAGCCGAATTTTTAAATGTCAGTTTCTATATTACACTTTTGTAGGTTCACGCTTAAAGTGTGGCTTTTAAACAAGAAAATTGAATTTCTCGTTCCCTTTGGCCATATACTATTTAAAAAAAAATCGAACATACTTCGCACCACGATTAGGACATTGTCGTTGATGGGATGTTTTGAAAATATATATTCNTTGCAATTAAAATGCAATTTTGAACGAATCCCCATTAACTGATAAAGTCATACCTAGTATTAACTGTGTTTTACTTTTATACATAATCATGATCATCCATACAATTTTAATTATAATTCAAACGATAACTATAAACAATTTTATGCAGAAAGCCAATGCTGTGATTTGTAAATAAATACACTTTTAAATAGTTGATCAAAAAAATGTCCAAAACACTATATCAAGCAGAATTTTAGAATAAATGATCTCTTAATGAATGACATTATTTTGCGGATAAAATAAAATAAACCGAGGGAATAATGTTTTTAATTAAACATTCTATAGAAAGAGGAAAATAAGAAAAATGAGCTGATACTGTGTACGGTTGCGCCACTATTATAGATGGGAAGGGGAAGATAGAAAGAGTTCTAGGTTAAGGTCAAAGTTTTGTGGCGATTTTCCCATGTTCTTCTTATCACTTTATTTCTTTTGATTTCACATACCCTATATCCCTCCCGGAACATTTCCTATTACCATATTATTAAACGTTGAGCTTACTTTTATCTTATAATATATGGATATCTTTTTCGACTATATTATTATATCCCGTATTATCGTAAGTCAAAAATAACATTTTAATATTGTATTCCCTTTAATTTTAAAAATGCTGCCCAAATGCCTAAAATAAGCAAAATACAATTTTATAATATATCAGGTAATGCATTTGGAAGTGAGTAGTGGAGTATCATTAGTGTGGCGGTACGGTGCGCTGCGTATTATTGAGAGCAGTCTCCTCCAACCA